AGTAGAACAGTGTAACCTATCGATAAAACTTTGTCTAACAAACTTTTTGAAATTTCTATGGCTTTTCTTACTGATAGAACAGCCTTCAAGTACCGATAGGATTTCTCTAACAAAGTATTGGGACATTTCCTACCGGTAGAACCAGTACCAACTATTAGTAGAACTTCTCTAATGAAAAAGCATGAATTTTTATAAGTTTTTCTACTAGTAGTACGAGTACCACCTACCGGTAGGTCTTCTACATTATTCTTATGTATCCCAAGCTTCCAGTAGAACTGACTTCCTACCGGTAGAAGCTTTACTTTTTTATCTTTCTACCGATAGAAAACCTATAGATTAAACTTTTCTTTTTTTCAAAATAACTTGCAAGGCTTCCAACTTCATCTCTTCTTGAGAAAACACAATCCTAACTTGTCCCTTGCCATCCTATCAATGCTTAATCTCAATTCTTATATGTAAACTACCTGCAAACACCAAAATCAAGGCATGGATTGCAATATGCTCTTAGTGAAGCAAGTTAGTTATTTAGTAAGTCTAAAGCGAACATGTTAAGCTATATAATGATACAATAATAAGCACTCAACACACAACCTATGGTTTTTGAAATGTCACTGCCAGCCCCTGTCAGATTATGTCAGTTAATAGACTAAATAGAGACTGTGACTTTAATGAATTACCCTGCTTCAAACTTATCTCCAGTTGCAAAAACCTTTGTTTACACTTTAACCCCTTATAGATTCTGAATTACTCTACACACACTCTAATTTAATTTCATAAAATTAAACTTCAATTGCATAATATTGACATTTAATTTCATTAGTTCAAATATTAATTTCAATACAATAACACTAATTTAACCAAATTAATATATAATTTCATCAATTAACATTTTAAAATTTAATTTTGTCAAACTAACATTAGGTTTATTTAATTTCATCAAATTAACATCAAATTGAACTTTAATTACATCAAATTGATATTTAATTTCATTAATTAAAATATTAATTTTATCACACCAACACTTATTTCATCAATTTAACACTAAACTAATGTTTAATTTCCTCAAATTAACATTTTAAAATTTAATTTCATCAAATTAATAAATTAACATTTAATGTAGAATTTAATTATATCAAATTGAACTTCAATTTCATCACACTAACGCTAATTTAATCAATTTAACATCACATTAATATTTAATTTTATAAATTTCATATTCAGGTTGATCATGTTAACATTTTAAAATTTAAATTTATTAAATTAAATTCAAATTAACATTCATTTTATTTAATTTAAAATTTAGTTTCATCAAATTAATATTGACTTTCATTAATTTAATTATTAATTTCATTGCACTAACACTAAATTCATCAATTTAACACTAAATTAATATTTAATTTCATCAAATTCAAGTTCAATTTCAACAAATTAACATTTTAAAATTTAATTGTATAAATTAAATTAAATTAAAATTCAATTTAATCAATTAAATTCAAATTAAAATTCAATTTATCTGATTTAAAATTTAGTTTCGTCAAATTAACATGAAATTGAAATTTAATTTTATTAATTCAAATATTAATTTTACCACACTAACACTAATTTCATCAAATTTACATTTAAAATTTAAATTTGTTTGCTAAAATTAAATATTAATTTGATGTTAAATTGATAAAATTATTGTTACCATGATGAAATTAATATTTGAATTAATGATATTTAAAACAATTGATAATAAAATTGAAGAATCAACTTGAGGGTAAATTTGGAAGCTCATTGTAAAATATGGCATTACATCACTATCTTGTTTGATTTCAATAACAATAATGGTTGTGTCGTGAGGTTATTATGTAAAACTCATGATAAATTATAAGGGTATAGAGTGATATTTACGAAACTATAAGAGGTGTTCTTGCAATTAGGTCAATCTCAAGATGATGTCAGTGAAATTTACCCTATAATATATGTTTGTAATATCTCACAAAAAAATTGTATACGTATATATATATATATATTTTTTTTGAAATATTTTTGGTGGGCCCTGGCCCTTGGTGGATCCGCTCCTCACAACGGCTACACATAACCACCACCACCTTCAATATACAGCTCATGTCGACTAGCAACTGGCAAGAGGGGCTAGTCGACTAACCTTTTTGCACATAGTCAACTTGGCAACATTCCTTGGTCGACCAGGGTGTTTCTAGTTCGTATTTTTTCTGGGTTGTTTTAAATTGACACGTGTTTAGGTGATATTTTTTTCACCATCAATTTGAGAGTAATGTTATACTATACAAATATTTGTTCAAATTTTATATCTCAAATCAATGCAAATACAAAAAATCCTAGACTTAACAATCATAAGAAAATAGATAAAAGAAAAGTGAAGTCACAAGAAAAAACAAATTATGTATATGCATGACATGTAAGTGCATCCCCATGCCTTACTCAAGGTTAGACCAAATTTTAATTTGAGTAACAACATGACACATAAGTTACAATCGTTTGATCAACCTCATATAAAATAAAGGGAGAACTAAATCTTTGACTCAAATTAATGCTGATTCGAATTCTTAAGTTTGATATTTCAGCCTCCTCTTTGCATCCGTGTACTCTGTCTTGATTCAATCTCTGTTTAAACTCATCGATAGGTTCAAAAAACGTGACTTAATTGAAGTTCAGATTCTTTACCTTTAATTTCATTTTATACTAAATTTTGTTTTTTTGTTTTTTAAAATTTTAACAATCAAGGGTGACTAAGCCAACATAATTTAGTACCACTATCCTACTAAAAATGTACCATCTAATAGGATTTTGATTATTTGTGCATAATAAATTCTAGCCAAGTGCTCCATACAATGTTTTTGATCTGCTATGGTAAAAGCAGTCCTAAAGTTTTGAATTGCTGAACTTCTTGAGACCCTCATATTTCTCCGATTGAGATCATCAGGCCATCGATGTATTCAGGCATTACTAGAAGAGAGTTACACAAACATATTTTAACTTGTGAATTAACCAAGCATTTTAGTGTGATTTGTGGTTAAACTATTAGCTTTTCAATCTATAACCACATCCAAGGAGTTGATGTAACTAGAAGAATTACATAGCAAAGCCTCTTGACTCTGTGGATTCTCCACTGAATGCTTGCACAAATAGTGCATCTTGAGGAGTTTGACAAGGATCAGGAGGCATTTGCAAATGTTCAACTTCCCCTTCGAGCATCTCAACTACCTTCCTCATTGAAGGACGGCCAACCGGATTTGTCTGGATGCACCATAATGAAACCAAGGTCATCTTCCTAGTGATTTTCTTTTCATCATTAGTTGCTTCTTCAATTTCAATTTCTTTACCTTTATTGAACCGATCTTAAATCCAGAATGGACAAGATTGGGTAGAATTCTCTTCAGGGTGCATCAACTCTGTCTTTAATCCTAGCATTTCCATCTACAACATTCCGAAGCTGTAAACATCAGCCTTATATGAGACACCTCCGATACTTCTGTTGATCAATTATGGGGCTACATAACCTATTGTTCCCCGAGCTGCAGTTAGATTCACAATACTGTTATCAGTTGGATACAATTTGGCAAGCCCAAAGTCAGACACTTTCGGAATGAAGTTATCATCTAGAAGAATGTTGTGTGGCTTGATATCAAAATGGAGAATCTGAATATCACAGCCTCGATGCAAGTATTCAATTCCACGAGCCACACCAAGTGCAATCTCATACTTCATCTCCCAGCTCAAGGAGATACTTCCTTCTCGAAGAAGGATATTGATGCAACTTCATTGATGAATTCTTGCCCATTAGCTTTGGATTTGCCCAATATCTTTACTGCTGCAAGTCGGCCACTTCGAAGCTTTATACACAGTACCATAACCCCCTTCACCCAATTTGTCCTTGAAGCCTTTTGTCATCTTTTTAACCTCTGAATAGGAGTACCAAATGGGCATGAGGTTATTCTGACTTTGTAGAAACCTTTCAATTGCATCAAACATCGACAAATGCCTTCTTCGCAGTTTATAGATTATGAACACAAATATGCTTGGTAACCCAATCAGAAATTTTGCTGCAATGTGCAGTCCTGTGCAAGAAAATTAAGAGGAAAGCCATGAGAAACTGATCCGGTGCTGTATCATTAGAACCATGGTTAAAGACGAGCAGTCTAGTGCACTGCTCTTGTACTACTGTAGGATCTAAAGAGGGGCATGTGTACACAGCTTTACCCCACATGCAAAGAGACTATTCCTTTGATTCGAACCCGTAACGCTCAGGTCACAAATGGATCAACCTTATAGCTACGTCAAGACTCACCCTTACTATAACCATGGTTCTTAGTTGAAAAAACTTCTAAACGTAGGCCTTTTTTATACCCTACTTATTTGGTATGTGCAGCACAAAACACATCAATTCTCTACGTGATTACCACCTACACAGTTGGCTAAAGCAACATAATTTGAAGACTGAGGAACTCAAAAATCTTTCTGTACGTTCCTTCACTGTCTCTGTTCACTTTTTATTCAATGAATGGGTTAGGTTTCCCTCTTTTTTCTGGTTTCTATTTCTCTTATTTTCATTCCTTCAAAAGTATCAAAGCAGTTGTGTCTACTGTAGAACATATATTAATAATTAAATTAGAAAAGATGCAGGGGCTTACCTACGATAAGCAAAATGGCTAGCTGGATATCAGCAAAAAGGCCGAACAAGTAATTAAAAGAAGAGGGTCGTGTGTATAAGTTGATCAGCATGAGTCCAATTCAGCTTTGCAAGTAACATAGTTTACATATATTGCAGGGCAGGGTTGAGCCCCTGCTTAACAATTTTCATTTTGACACCATTGCCTAGGCTTGAGGCCCCAAGTCATATTTAGTTTTTTCTTCCCCATGTAAAGGGAAAACATCCAATCACCCATCTTTTGGACACATGGTCATAAAGCAAATATTTGAGTACACACAAATCACCTGGTGATCACACATACCAATTTAATTAGACATTTATATGGTTAGGAGAGTTGAACTTGGGATGTAGTGCTAGCATACGTTTCACTCCCCATGTTCCAAGTTAAGTCATGTTGGAATCTGCCTAGGTGGTAGAGAAATAAACATGTAGAGAAAAAGAAAGAATACTTACAGTAAAAGATGACCAAAAAAATATCCTTGGTGCCTGTATTGTTCATGTAAAGATTACCATCAGAGAATAAAACAATAAAACATAATAAAAAAGGGAAATTTAAACCGGAAATAATCCCATCAGGCTTTGTAACAAGTTTTTTGTTACATAATACAGCTTTATGGGGCGCTGCTAGCATGTTATGACCTATTAAACTAAATTGATTTGTCTTCCTACATACTCTGTTATATATTATTCAGTTTAAAATCATATGAGATGCTCATTTAGTTTCTCAGTTTTGTCACTTAATTAGGTGAACAAGGTAGGAAAATTAATGCCGTTATTCTTTGAAGTATGATTTTTGTAACACATTGCTCCATAATATTCGCTTCCAAAAAAAATTGCCGTTAATTTTGATGATATTATATAATAGATTTTGAAGTTCTATCAATATGTCATTAGTCAATACTTTTTTTTCAAAATTATCCCCTCCTAAATCTGTCTGGTCCAACCCACAACTGTACACTCTGCTGCAGATTAAGTGAAAATTACCCCATTTAGTCTATAAAGAAATCGCTCAGGGTGAGGAGAAATCTGACACACACACACACACATATATATATATTTCCATTTTTCGATTTCTTACCGCACTTGGTTGATAACATGAGGAGCTCAGGACTGAATGGCACAATCATTCCAAGAAATGAGCAGTAACTTGTGCACAATTTCTGATTGTCGCCCCGATGGAAGCAATACCCCAACTCGCAATTTTCACACTGAGTTTTGAACCATGAAAGCTCAAACCCATATTCTATGGCGTCGTAGATGTCTGAAAAAGAGATATTGTTATCATCCTTAAACGGCCATGATGTCATCACCATTAGCTCTATATTGCACCTCTCTCTCACTTCTACTGCCCTCAAGCCGCTAACATTGACATAAGAGTGTATTCTGGAAGAGGAGGAGAAAGAGGAGTTTGCAGTATAAACTCCATTGATGCACTGTCCTATCTCCAGGTAGAGAGGAGAATCTACTGGATATGGGCAATTCAGAAAAATTATAGGCTTGTTTATCTGCTGTCTAAATTGTCGGATGTCCCATATATGGTTAAAAGTGCTATATGGATCTTTCAAAGTGAAGTTGTGTCTGGTTAAAGGATACTGAGGAAGAAAGGAGCAATTATCTATTTTTTGTACAGCAGAGTCAACAAGGCGGATTGTGAAGTTAGGATAGTTGATAGATTGAACGAGGTATTTACGTTTATTTTTATGGGAACCCAAGTATAAAACTGCAGCATTATTTTCACAAGCAAACTCATATTTGGGGTTACCACAGTTTTTTGGATCATTATTCAATCGGAAAGGGTAACTGATGTTATGGATATTGCCGCAGGAAGAAGGGTCACAGTGATGATTCTGCTTACATCAGCATGGTTGAGGGAAGTGGATGAGAACAAGGACTGGGATGAAACCCACAACAATCAAATTTTCTCTCAACATTGGAGGGGAGAGAGAGAGAGAGAGAGAGAGTTTCCAACAAGAATAGAAGCGAGTTTTCAGAAGAGGTGAAAGGGCGGCATATATGTAGACGTAAATTTTGAAAAACTTTATATGGAAGACCGTATTATTTATCTTTTTTTTTTTCATTTGGTTATTATGTTTTTATCAATTTATAGAAATATTTATGATGATCTAAAATAGAGTAATTAATAATTTCACTTCAATTAATATTTGAACACATCATATATGTGGATTTTAAAGAGCAAAGAAAAGTAGGAACATGTCTGTTTTGTGATTTCTAAATGGTTAATTTGACAGAATATTTTAAAGTACAATGTGAGAAAATTAATTATTTGAAAGATAAATTGATAATTTTTTTATTTTTTAAGGGACAAAATGATATTTTTTCCAATATTCAGTATAAATGACGTTATTCACGCAAAAATAAGATGAACAAAAAAAGTAATTTTTAATAATATTAATCGGTTAATCAATGTAGAAAAAACTAGCAATTATTTTTGTCCGATCAATGATTGGATGAAAGACTCAAGAATGTATTTTGGAATCATAGTGGCAACGAGTTCTTTGGTGGGAGAAGAATGGAAACTCAAAGAAATTAGAAAGTGTTATTTTTTTTTGTTGCCTTTCCATTTACCAAATAGATATTTTTTATGGAGACAGTAGGAAGGGAACAACTTTTATTGAAATAATTAGGAAAGAAAAATAGCATACTATTGTCTCATGGTTAATTGGTCCACATATCTGCTCTTGTACCAATAAACAAGTTACGAAAGGAAGGGCCAAGTCTCTTTGACATGTAAAACACTTCAACGAGTATCTTATGGACCCCATGTTATAGAAATTACAGGGGGCCATGGGCCCAAGTTATGGCTTAGCTCTATCCCTGTATGGAAGATAGTATTATTTTATTTTCATTTATTTCATTTAATTAATATTTGAACATACTTACATCAGATTTGACTTCTCTCCAAATCTAAAATAATTGGTGAATCCTTTCGATTCTTTTTTGGGTGGTGAAGGTCGTTCTATGTCATCAAGTTTTATCTCCTTCACAAAACACTTGAAATTTTAAAATTCAAAAATAAATTAGGTTTACTGACATTAACTGATCTTCACCCTTAAAAAATAATTAAAAGATTCTCAAATTATTTTAAAATTTGAGAGGAGTCTTATCAGAGGTACTTCATGGGTGCAGGCCATTTAATTTAGAATTCCCAACTAGAGCTGTTGGAGAGGGTTCCGTAAAAGTGGTAGGTAGTGTATGTATTACGAATAACTTATTAAGAGGAACACAACCACCCATTGATAATTTTTTCTTAAAAAAAATAAATAAATATGCAATTGCACTATTGAAGTAGAAACACGAAACCTGCACAGGGTAAGCTAATTGTGTGGAGTTAACTTTATATCGCGCCATATATTCAAATGTTTTAATTTTAATTTCTCTTCTTGGCGTTTCATCAGTATAATAGACACATGTGATTTGCTTCCGATTGAAGGTATCGAGCTTTATTTTTCCTAAGTTCAAAGAGAAGGTCTCAGATGTTTTTCTTGTGATTAAAAAAAAATTCACATCATGTATGACCGAATACTTTTTTTTTTGTTTGTTTAATGACCGGATACACCAACTCCTTACATCGACATTGATTAGTCTTCTAAGGAGCCAAAACGAGAGACGCCATGAGAAAGGTTCCACCTTATCACTAGTGTGTGGATTGTGGGCATCAACCCTCTTTTAGAGAAAATATTCATTGCAACGGTGACACCATCTAATTAAAAGATAACGAATAAGTAAAATAAATTCCACTAATCTTATATGTTACTGATTGGATATGGTGGTTTAACAAAAAGAAATCTGTCCAAGTAACATGCATGGTTTAGCAAAAAGAAGTACCTAATGATTAGTGGTTGTATAGGAGTATAAAGTTTGCGTGTAATCTAAATACGTAATTTGTGATGGATTATATGTATTTAAAAATTTTATGTTATGAAAAATACATGATTAAAAAATCAAAATATTCGGTTATAAAGAAATCATTAAAAATACTATTATAGATTTGTATTTATAAGTCGATGTATATACTAGGTTGTTTCTTCTCCATGGGTGCAGTTAGTGCACCAAAATTTGTAAATGGATTCATGTTTGAAATGTAAACTAACACTTTTTTATCTTTTCTTCTCACTATATTTTAAACAAAATAGGAGTTTTGTTATAAAAACAACTATATATAACAAGCCTGGACAAAATTAAAACAAGAGGGAAGCTGGAAGAAAGAAAAAGGTTCCCACTCTTATCGCTTATTTATGTGGATTGTGAGCATCAACCTATCAACCTCATTTGGTGCCACCATGACAGGCTTAGATCTTTCATGACTTGAATATTTAAAGTCAGTCAATGAAAAAAAGTCACTGCACGAAACTTGACTTGGAACTAGTCCCCCATAATTTGAAAGAAGTTATTGCCTGTGCATCTTTATATTTAAAAAGTAAGCAGACACTTTTAATATCTCTTTTTTTTTTTTTTGAAATAAGTGTTTAAGCAAAATATCAATTTTGGTTCAAAAAACAAAAATATTAGGGTGCGTTTGGTAGGTGTTTTTTATTTCACATTTTTTTGTTTTAATGTTTTGCAAAAAACGAAAATAAAAACGCATTTGGATTTGTGTTTCTGTTTTATATAAAACAAGTTGTTTTGAAGACAATGCCCAAAAACAAGAAATAGAAAAAAGATGTTCCAAAAAACAAGGGATACAAAAACAAGCGCGTGGGGCTGGGGGAAGAGTTAGTGAGATTCAAACTTCGAGCTTTGTTAGCAACAAAAACGATATTTTTATGTGGAAGTATCTAAACTCATTTCATTCTCTCTCTCTCTTTCTCTCCATTGCCTTTGTCCATCCAACGAAGACCGAAGGTCTTCGCCGACAATTGTCTCTTCTCCTATGCTCCTCACGATCATTTTTTCTCTGGTAGTCCTCACAATCGTCTATTTTTGTTCGATCAATGATTGGATGAAGAAGAATGGAAACTCAAAGAAATTAGGAAGTGTTATTTTTTTATGTTGTCTTTCCATTTACCAAAGAGATATTTTTTATGGAGTCACTAGGAAAAGAACAACTTTTATTGATCTAATTAGGAAAGAATTAAATAGTATGTCATTGTTTTCTGATTAATTGGTCCACATATCTTCTCTTGTACCAATAGGTAAGTTATCAAAAGAGGGACCAAGTCCCTTTGACATATAAAACACTTCAGCGACCATCTTATGGAACTCAGGTTATGGCCCAAGCCATGACTTAGCTCTGTCCCTGTATGGAAGACAATATTATTTATCTTTTACTTCTCTTTGTTCATTTATTTTATTTTTTTTTGTTATTTGGTTATTTATTGTTTTATCAATCATGATACAATCATCAATTTCTAGAAATATTAATGATGATCTAAGATAGATTAAATAATGATTTGACACCAATTAATATTTGAACATATTTACATCTGATTTGACTTCTCTCCAAATTTAAAATAATTGGTGAATCCTTTTAATTCTTTTTGAATGGTAAAGGTGGCTCTATGTCATCAAATCTTCACAAAACACTTGAAATTTAAAAATTTAAAAATAAATTACGTATATTGAAATTGACAGATCTTCGCCCTTCAAAAATAATTGAAAGATCCTTAAATTATTTTAAAATTGGAGAGGAATCTTACCGGACTACTTAATGGGAGTAGGCCATTTAATTTCGAATTCCCAAGTAGAGTTGTTGGAGAGTAAAAATGGTAGGTGGTGTATGTATTGTGAATAACGTATCAAGAGGAACACAACCACTCATTGAATAACGTGTCATCACCGTCAGATAGTGTCACCATTGAATTAGAAGATAACGAATAAGTATAGTGGATTCCACTAATAATGAAATTCACTTTACCGAACCTATTTCTATTCTTTTAATTGGACGGTGACACAACGTGACAGTGATGACGTGGTGTCACTGTTAGATTAAATATTTGCTCCCAATTTTGGTGCAAAGGTCACCACGTAAAATTCGGTGTGTCGCTTCAATGTCCTTGTCAATCAACAAAAATATGGCCTGTCAAACAAAAAATCAGTCCAAGTACCACGCATGGCTTAACAAAAAGAAGTACCCCACTGATTTGTGGTCGTATAGAAGTATAAAGTTTGTGAGTAATCTATAAACGTTATTTGTGATGGATTATATGTATTTGAAATTTTTATGTTATGAAAAATACGTGATTAAAAAATCAAGATTTTCGGTTATAAAGAAATCATTAAAAATACTATTATAGATTTGTATCTACAAGTCAATGTATGTACTGGGTTGTTTCTTCTCCATGAGTGTAGTCAT